GCCTCGCAAGGGTCCTGGAAGGCTCACTCGGAACCTTGTGAGGCTCCCCCCACGGGGCCAGTGGGGGAGAAATCGCCAGCTTCGCTCCATAAGACGCACAGACTCCCCCCCCCCACTTTTTTGCATCTTATGGAGCAAAAAATATGGTGTATATATATAACTATACATTGCTTTATCTATATTATCTGGTAACATACTCAATAAAAACAGTTCTGGGGTTAATGGAACCTTACAAAGCAATATTTGTTGTAACACAGTATGCACTCCTAACCAATATTGTTTCGCTACTCTACAAGTCCACCACATATACAGTAATAGCTTCCCACATGTGCTTCACATTTCCAACAGACATTTGATACATCTGTATGCATCTGGAGTCATATGCCATCAGTAAAACATCTTATATATGTTCTCTTTAAAATTAACCGATTTTGTAAGCTTTATAATATAAAGCTTATTAATCTACATGTTTTAACAAGAAAAATTAATATATATGGGCAGGTATTTGCTTACATTGGCAGTAGCTAACATATTTTCTGGATCCACCAAGGTACGTAACAGACCCATCAGCTGGACTGCTCCTCCAAGTTCAGGATCTGTATCACAAATCATGTGTTCTATGATGAGGTTAATGAGTAAGATATCCTGGTTTAAAAAATAAAATTAAAATATCAAAAATGTCAGTCTCAGCTAAGACGTCAGAAGAGACTTATGAACAGATAATTCCAAATAAAGGTCATGATTTGTGAAATGGATGGAGCTGTGGGCTTGTGTTTCTGTAACAGTAGCCAATCATGCTGCATAGGAAATCATTTTTGAAGCTTAGGGATCTCAAGTGAATTTGAGCAACCTATTTTCTTGAGCGTTATGTGAAACAACTCTGTAGAATCCTCTCTCTCCTTGCCTTGCTGACATTAAATTTACTTCAGTGCAAGCTTATGCAAACCACATGCACAGTCACCACAGCTGACAGAGATTTATTCACATGAGTGTAAAGGGAGCTTCCAGGGAAAAGATGAAACACTCTGTCCCTCCCATTGGAAGCCACCTACATTTATACATCCAATGTGAAGTGTGAAATATGGCACAGAAACTAAAGGGGCTGCTGGATGGGACAATGAAATACTCCAATTGTACCATGGACAACTTTTGCAGTTAAATGTTGGGTGTGGAGGATGGGAGTGTCTACTTGCCTGCTTGGCACTCATTTTAAAAAAAACTCTATCAATAAGAAAGGAACATTGTGTTCCTCTTCTGCCAACCCCTCCAAAATAGACTGCAGGCTTACTGATAAGACTGCTTAGTGTTATATTCATACTTATAGCTTTAGAAGAAGTAGCCATATTACTCTGTGCTAGCATATAAGACATAAACAAAAGAAAATAAAAATAAGGAAGACAAAAACGTTGTGGCACCTTGAAGAGTATGGTTAAATTTTAATGTGAGCTTTCATGGACGCTTACCTCAGATATTCATACTCATGTTACCTACATTTAAAGATAAATAAGACTCCCTTATTAGCCAAGAGCTGAGACAGAAATTGCAACTATTTGGTGAAGAGGAAACCTGGCTAAGTACAGTGGTGCCTCGCATAGCGAGGTTAATCCGTTCCGGATTAACCTTCGCTATAGCGAAACATCGCTGAACGGGGCAGGGAAAGCCATTGGAACGCATTAAACATCGTTTAATGCGTTCCAAAAGGCTCCTCTACTCACCGTTCAGCGAGGTTTCCTATGGCCGGCAGCCATTTTCGCCCCCTTGTTAAGCGAGGGGAGGGCACGAAAATGCTGTGCGCGGCCATTTTGAGGCTTCCGGCGGCCATTTTGTCCACCAAACAGCTGATCGTCGGAGCTTCGTTTTGCGAAGATCGGTAAGCGAAACGCTTACCGATCTTCGCAAAGCGAAATTCTCCCTATCTGAAGCTCACTGAGCGATCGCATTAGCGATCCAAAAAAAACGGATCGCTATGCGATTTCATCGTTATATGGTGCGCTCGTTAAGCGAGGCACCACTGTATTAACAATTGTTGCTATAATGGGAGATTTAACCCTGAATCATGGTTAAGGTTCACAGGAAGGGGAAATGAGGGAAATATATGTTGGAGAAGTGGAGGAACTATATCCAAGGTTATGTTCTTATGTGCAAACTATAGTTTAAAGGGTGTCAGCAACATGATTAGGTATAATGGTTGCTGTGGGTTTTTTGGGCTTTTTGGCCGGGATCTGAAGGTTGTTCTTCCTAACGTTTTGCCAGTCTCTGTGGCTGGCATCTTCAGAGGACTGGAGTAGGAACTCTGTCTGCTCTGGAGGACAACACTGTTGACCAAAGCAGACAGAGTTCTGACTCCTATCCTCTGCAGATGCCAGCCACAGAGACTGGCGAAACGTTAGGAAGAACAACCTTCAGAACATGGCCAAAGAGCCCGAAAAAACCACAACAATCATCAGATCCTGGCCATGAAAGGTTTCGAGAATACAATGATTAGGTAAAATTGCAAGTTATATAATAACAGCAGTTGCTACTACCAATCAAAAACAAACAAAACAAAAACACACATGTCTCTTAGCTTCAGCAATTATGAACAGAATTTTACTAATTTTGGCTGTCTTTCAATATTGATGAAAACATTATTGGAAACAAATAAAGATGGCCTACTTACATCATCATTCTGCTGAGCTTCCTGCATAACAAACTCTCGTACCATAGATGGACTATATTCCACCAAATAGGAAAATATATCAGTAGCTGCACTTCTCACTTGTGCATCATCCATACCCTTTGGTAAAACAAAAACAGACAATGAACTGTCTTAATAAACTCACCTCTGAGACATGACACCACACAGAATGACTGGGTGCAGCTTTATTCCCTGGAAAAGAGGAAACTAAAAGGCACTGGACATTTGCAACTCTAGCATGGAGTCTTTTAGCAGAGGCATATGAAGAAGTGGGTTACAGTCCACAAAAGCTTTTGTTAGGCAAAACTTCACTAACCTAACCGACCACGGTATCCTCTTGGGGAGGCTCTCCGAGCTGGGAATTGGTGGCCTGGCGCTTGCCTGGCTCCGTTCCTTCTTGGAGGACTGTCCCCAGAGAGTACAGCTTGGGGAGAGTGTCTCGGCCCCGTGGAGTCTCAACTGTGGGGTTCCACAGGGGTCGATTATCTCCCCAATGCTGTTTAATATCTTCATAAGGCCGCTGGGTGGGGTCATCAGAGGATGTGGGGCGTCGTGTCATCAATATGCGGATGACAGCCAGCTCTACATCTCCTTTTCACCAACTGCAGGTGATGCTGTCCTGTCCCTTCAGCGCTGCCTGGGGGACGTACTAAAATGGATGCAGGAGAACGGGCTGAGGCTGAACCCAGACAAGACGGAGGTCTTGAGGGTGGGTGCCCCCACTGTTGGCGGCTCGGGCGACTCCCTCTCGTTTGGGGGGGTGACCCTTGCCGCAAAGAGCGGGGTTCGCAGTCTGGGGATCCATCTGGACCCGGCGCTCTCCATGGAGACCCAGGTGGCATCGGTGGTCCGCACCGCCTTTTTTCATCTCTGGCGGATAGCCCGACTGCGACCCTATCTCAATGTGGGGCCGCTCACCCCCTTGGTCCATGCGCTCGTAATCTCAAGATTAGACCACTGTAATGCGCTCTACGTGGGGCTACCTTTGAGGCGGACGTGGAAACCCCAAGTGGTGCAGAATGCAGCGGCCAGACTCCTAAGCGGAGTGCAAAGATACCATCACATTTCTCCTATTCTGGCCGCGCTGCATTGGCTGCCCATTCGGTTCCGCGTTGACTTCAAAGTTCTGACGCTTACGTTTAAAGCCCTAAACAGTTTAGGGCCTCGATACTTGGCGGAACGCTTACTCCCACCCAGTTCTACCTGTGTCACCTGGGCGAGTCAGGAGGTGAGGCTGAGGAGCCTGACGCCGAGGGAGGCCCGGAAGGAAAAAACAAGAAACCGGGCCTTCTCGGCGGTGGCTCCTCGCCTCTGGAACAACTTACCTCCTGACATTCGCGCAGCTCCCTCGCTGGGTATTTTTAAGAAAGAACTGAAAACATGGATGTTCAGGCAGGCCTTCCCCATTTCCACCTAATACCTAATTATTCTTTTTCTTTCTGTTATAGTATACCCCGTTTCTCGCCATCTTTGGGAAAAATTTTATTCTATCTTTTAATTATGCAAATTATGTTATGTTATGTGATATGTTATATGTTTAAGTTTTTAGTGTGTGTTGAATAAATAAACCTTAAGAAGTCACAAGACTCCTTGTTATTTTTGCTGCCACAGACCACCACAAATTAATAATTCTAATTATCTCAATATAATCAACCCTTTTCTTGAGTCTTTGCCTCCTTTTCTGGTTTTTGCTTGCATTTTGGCACTTTTCTTAATTTTCCCTGTTCTTACTGTGAAAATGTAAGACATAAACCAAATGTATTTCCTATAGCTAAAGTACTGTTCCACAATGATGAATAATAAACTTCCAAGTATTTAATTATCAGAATGCCAACGACCTATAGGAGGCCAAAAACTAAGACACACAATCAGAAACTTTGGAAACTTACTAGGATGACTTCTAATGCTGGAAGAATGCCCATATTAGACAATGTTTTGAAGAAAGCATCTCTGTTTTGAGGTTGTAAAGTTTGAGAAAATGCACAAAACTCTTTAAGGAAGTTTACCTGAAATACAAAAATAAGACTTCACTTGTCAAGAAAATGAACAAAATAACTGCTTAACTGGGCATATATTAAAACATCCTTACCAATTCTTGCCTTTTCTCCTCATCTGTAGCTTCATCTGTAAGTTGTGCAAATAGGTCTGTCAAAAACTTTTCATCCTCCTACAAAAAAATCCATGTAACATTGTGGAATACAAATTAAAGTGAGTAACTTTAAAATGTTTCATCCCCATGCATCCCCCCCCCAAAAGATATGCTGGACAAAAATGAACCCAACTATCACACACTGCACTCAAAATAAAAAGCTAATTTTGACTTAAGTCTGGGTGGGCAATTATGGCCTTCCAGGTGCCTTTGAATTACAGCTGCAATAATCCTTCATTACCGCTTCACAGTAAGAGTACTAGCAATCACAGGCCAAACACCTATGAAGGGCCACAATGTACAAACTCTCACTGACTTCCATACCCAGAAACACTGCCTTTACAAAGCAGCATTTATTTACCTCCCTGAAAGCTAAATGGAAATGTATTTACATCATTTAAAAAAACAGTTTGCTTTGGGGAAATTTTCAGGATCATACCCACATGTAGCTCGGCAAGGAGTATTTTCAACTTGGAAATGGAAATTGTGAATACTTTTTGAGGGTTTTTTGTAAACCACAAACAAGGTAAATTTGATTTACATCAAGTCAATTTAAATCACAATTTAAATCACTAGTAAGACTCAATTTAAATGATTATTTTTAAATGTAAAGACTCATTCTTGCTGGTTGTTATAATCTTTAATACTTGCCACCAAATGTAGATTTCATATTTGGAATAATAACCTGTATCAGATTAGTAAAACAACTATATCAGCACTGATTTTAGTTTAATAGTTTAATCACTCACATTTGGAGAACGACTTAAATTGCTTTATTTAACTAAACCAAAAAATATTTTTTAAAAGCAAATTATTTTCCAAACAATTTTCAAACCTAGCATTTAAGGAAAGCTGGAAGCTCCCTATCTGCAGAACCTGAATCCGCTGATTCACATATGCTGCCTGAGAATACTAAATGAGCCCCAATACATACTTATATGTACAGTGGTGCCTCGCATAACGAT